GAAAGGAAATTTGTATATTATTTTTCCAAATATAAAATAATCATTAATGGTCAACTTTCCACTCACTCCAAACAAATTATTGGTGTATTTTTAATAAAAATAAAAGAAGAAGAAAAGAAAAGAAAAGAAAAGTGTGATCAACATGCTATGGCTAAAGCGAGGCCATCCAAAAACAAGTGGGACTACTATAGGACACTATTATAACAAATTTTTATTTTTATTTTTAATGTTGTACATGATAAATAATAATAATAATAATAATAATAATAATAATAATAATAAAATCTTCTTAATAATAAAATCTAAATTTTTTGAAATAGATTTATTATAATATTATATATATAATTTTTATTACATTAATAAATTTTGTAAATAATATACTTAAAAAGAAAAATTACTTAATAAAAATGTTATTAATTTTTATTCTTTATTTTTTTTCAATAATTTAATCCAGTCTAATCTAATATACATATTAAGTAAAAAATAATTATTATTCTATAAAATGGATTAACTTATACACCTGTAAATTATTTAAACTTAAATCTATATAAATTATAATCTAAATAATTTAAATTAAAATAAGACTAATTTAAATTAAGTTACAATTTTTTTAAATCTAATTTTATCCATTTCTTGGAATTTTTGCACTATCCATATTTTAAATCTCTATTTACTCCTTTATTTATTTTTTATTTTTTATCTTATATGTCTAATTTTTCTCTCTTTTATCACTTATTCTCCAATTAAACTATTATATTAAAACTTAATAAAAAAATATCTTAAAATAATATTTTACAATCATGAATAAAACTAAAAAATATTAATTAATTATTTAAATTATGATAACAATAAATAATTTATTTATTTTAATAATAAATAATTATTTTAAAATTATTTTAATAAAATACTACTCACCTGATTTAAAATGATATTAAATATTTATAACTTAAATATATTTTTATTTAATAATTTAATACAGTTATAATTAGATTGAGTTATAATAATTAGTTGAATTAGATAATTAAAAAAAATACTTTAAAATAAAAATTTATATTTTTATTAGTAATTATAACATAGTAATAATATTTTAATATTTTAAATTTATCATATAATATTTTTTAATATAATATATTAAATTGTAATGTTTTAGATCATTTAAATATTTTTATTTTTTAATAATAATAAAATATTTACTTTGACAAATTTTAATATAATATTTTTTATTAAAAAAAAGATGAAATGAAAGAAGAAAAACAGAGATAAAAAAATAAATCAAACAGTAAAGAAAAATAGAAAAAAAAAGAAGAATAACATGAAGTAAGAGAAAGATAAGAATAATTAAAAAAATAGCATATTATATCATATTAAATTTTGTGTATAAATAATAAATATTTTTAGTTAAAAAAATAAATAGATTATATTTAAATAATTTTTTTTAAATATATTATTTATGAAATTGATTCTTATTGTATTAAATTAATTTTATAAATTATATTATATATGTTAACCTCTTGCCGAATGGTGTGATCTAATCTCGTCAAATGATTAGTATATCGGTAGGTGTCTGTGATCCCATTTTTTATATACTCTGTGTTTGGTCTGAGGTTTATCGATATTTTTATTATAAATATTTTGATGTTTAAATTAGTAAAAGAATATCTAAATATAAATTAAGCATAATATTCATATATGAGAATATCACATGTTTATATTATTTTTATGGGTCTGTTGCTTGTAGACTTTGAGGACCTTTGCTCTTTTTATTCTCTTGCCGCATTATTACGTCCAACTTTACTCTTTTTATTCTCTTGTCGCATGATTACGACATAAAGACCATTTGTGTGGGCTATGTGTAGTTAGTAGGTATTATAATGATGATAATTAAATCTGTATTCCTACATGTGAAGATTGATTTATTTTTATCTTGAATATGATACGAAAAATTTGAGGTATTAGGACGGGGATAAATTCATGTTTTGTTCGTTTTAAAAAGTAAGCAATAAATATGGGTAATGTAATTCTGATATAAAATGTATTTATGATTTTATATTTAAATTTAAATTTTAAAATATTAATATTTTAAAATTATTTTTTTTGTTTTTATTACACATAAGATCATTTTTTTATATTTTACCATTTTTATATTCATTTTTTATTTTTTTTATCTTTTTTTATATTTTATATTAATTAATTTATTACATTATTTTTTTTATTTTCCTGTTTTCATATTTTCTTAATCTCTTCTATAAGTCTTTTTTTAATCTTTTTAACCAATTTGATGAACATAAAATAATTTTTTTTTATCTTTTTCTAAATATTTTATATAAATAATAGTAATAACTAATAATATTTTATTTATAATTTATATTTATTAGGTTTTATTATGTCATAATTTTTTATTTAATTATTCTTATTTATCATATATAAATTTTTTATTAATAAAATAATTATATTTTAAAATATTAAAAGAAATTAATAATTTAAACTTTTATTACTTCAAACTAATTAAATAAGAATTAACTTATTAAATATTTTCTTATAAATTATATATTTCATATTTTTAAATAACAACTTAAAAATGAATTAACTTATGGAATCAAATATTTAAATAAAGTATAATAATAATAATAATAATATTATAAATATTCAAATATTTGAATATAGTGTTATAATAATAATATTATTATTATTATTATAAATATTATATATATATAAATAAAAAATGATTAAATATTTATTATATATATATATATATTTTAATATAAATATAATAAATTAAAATATATATATATATATATATATTTAATTAATAATAATTATAACTTATAAAATTATAAATATTTAATTATATATATAAAAAACATAGTAAAATTATTTTATTATAAATATAATTATTTTTTAAAAAATAATATAAATCGGGGACTAGGCGGGGTGGAGGAACCCAAAACCCAACAGGACTGGAACGAAGCGCGAAAACCTAGATAGTTAAAAAGGTCGAAACGAAAATAAGAGAGGCAAAACCTGTCCTGGTCCGTTGTCATGCCTAGATACTACTATCGCTCATGAGTATAGTGAATCACATTTCATGGTATTTCTAAGTAAACACAAAATTTCACTTGCAAAAACTTTAAATGTTTAAATCAATAAATAAATATAAATATAAATTAACATAAAAAATTACTTATTATTATATCATAATTTGTTGTCATTGATTGATTTATAATCCGGGTAAAATATGAAGTAGAATTAATTTTTTTAATTTTTAAAGAATAAAAAATAATTCAAATGTAATAGAATTATATGCTTTGAAAATTACAATTATTTTAAATATTTTTTTAAAATAACAAAAAATCCTCTGTACAATGAAAGTAGAGCAAATGTAACACAAACAAACAGATAATTGCATTTTCTTCGTGGTCTGATCCACACTGAAAGCAATTGTTTTGTAAATATTCATCTTTTATTAATATAATTGTGCACCCCACAACTTCCAAACAAAACTAATCTCATTGTCACATTAACATAACACCTTTATCCAACACGGGTAAATATTTCTATTCGAATTGCGTAAAACTTTTTTTTTTTAATATTTAACATTATTACATATTTAAAATTTAAAACTATATTTTCACCTTCAACATGTATATGACTTCCCAGTGCCTCTCTGTGTGTGAGCAGGCTTAGAACAGCTGTAACTGAACACTGAATGTGTTGGCAATTTCCAAACAATAAATGAATAAGCCTACATCTATGATATCACTCTTTTGATCGTATCTATCATTTTTATTTATTATTTTTTGTTGAACTTGTCGCTTCAATAAATAAAAAAATGAAGAATTATCTACTTTTTATATATAAAAAACTGGTCTTTTCCGTCATTTTCGTTGAAGAGTACAATAAATTTTCAATATGAAAAACTTCAATCTATCAATGGTGAGATACATGATATAAGATATTCTTTTTTTCTTATTGATTTCTTTAAACCCAAATTTCATGTCCCAACAACATTTTTCTTTCCATTGAACAAGTATAATAAACTTTTTGATGTGAATAAACTCTTAAAAAATACTAATAGAGTATGTATTATTATTTGATTATTTTTTGTCCTTATAAACATCTCTTAATCAACTCCTTATTCTTATTCACTCTTATGTACGTATGATGCAGAAAATTTCCTATTTCAGTCAAAGTATATATATATATTGAATTTTAAATATCTACAACTTCTATATTAAATATTCATATGTTTATTAGAATATCATAAGAATATTCATAATAATTTCGGAAATATAAATGTGTAATTTGAAACAAACATTCCTTATCTTTTATAACCGTTCTACGTTCTTACTATCTATTATAAATTCTATCTTATAATATACACCATTTATTTCAATTATTAGTGTGCTGGTTATTTATTCTGCTTTTTCAATAAACTATTTCATCCATATAACATTCACATGTATATATTGATAATATTATATTTATTTACTAGGTGAATGGGATGAAAAAAAAACTCATTTTATAGGACTATAATAAAAATTCCTCTTTATATTATATAAAAGATATATTAAAATATCGTATTAATTAATTAGATATAAGATTATTACATTATAAAGACAAATAGTTACGTAATAGAAAAGCGAGTGAGTTGAAAAATATGAACGGTGTCATCTGAAATTCTGATTCACCGTAGCTGACCAACAAATGGATGGTAAAAGCAAATATATACAAAAATAATAAATTAGAAAAAATCGTGCTTCAGAAGATCCATTCAGATCCATAATTTAGATAGCGTAGGAATTGATATTTATTCTAGTATTTGTACGTCATAGCAAAAAAGAATAACGAAAGGAATATTTAAGAAAAAATTAGTTATTATATTAAAAACTAAAAAACAAGCAAAATATAATAACCTAGAACACATCGATAAGCATTGTTGGAAAAGAAGTGATATCATTGGCAACTGTAGATAAGAAGAAGGAGAAGAAGTATTTGCAGAGATGGCCGAAGGAAGCGAAGGAGACAAAGAGAGAAGCATGAAGCGACTTCTTCTCATGGTAAACTGTCTCTTACTCGTCATTGGAACCTCCGGCGGCCCACTCATAATGCGTCTTTATTTCCTCCGCGGCGGCCACCGCGTCTGGCTCTCCAGCTTCCTCGAAACCGCGGGCTTCCCCTTCATGCTTCTCCCCCTCGCCGTCTCCTATCTCCGCCGCCGTAGCGCCGCGGCGGAGGCGAGAACCGCCAAACCCAGCCTCATCTCGATGAAACCCCCTCTCCTAGCGGCCTCTGTATTCATCGGAGTCCTCACCGGCCTCGACGACTACCTCTACGCCTACGGCGTGGCGCGCCTCCCCGTGTCCACGTCAGCTCTCATCATCGCCACCCAGCTCGGCTTTACCGCGTTCTTTGCATTTCTCCTGGTGCGCCAGAAATTCACCTCGTACTCCGTGAACGCCGTGGTTTTGCTCACGGTCGGCGCCGGCGTGCTGGCGCTCCACACGAGCGGAGACCGCCCCCCCGGCGAGTCCGTTAAGGAGTACGCGATGGGGTTCGTGATGACAGTAATTGCTGCAGCATTATACGGCTTCGTGTTACCCTTGGTGGAGATGGTGTACAAAAAAACCAAACAACCTATTACCTATTCTCTTGTCATGGAGATTCAGTTTGTCATGTGTTTCTCCGCTACCGTCTTTTGCGTCATCGGCATGATTATAAACAACGACTTTAAGGTACTTACCAATTTATCAGTAAGAACAATACACTTGATCTTGTTACTAATTATTGTGAATTTTTTGAAGGTGATTCCGAGGGAAGCCAAAGAATTCAAGCACGGGGAAGTTAATTACTACACTGTGTTGGTGGGGAGTGCAATAATGTGGCAAGCTTTCTTCTTGGGAGCCATTGGTGTTATATTTTGTGCCTCTTCTTTGTTTTCTGGTATTTTAATTGCGGTTTTGTTACCCATCACGGAAGTGTTGGCGGTTATTTTCTACAAAGAGAAGTTTCAAGCAGAGAAGGGTGTTTCTCTGTTACTGTCCCTTTGGGGCATGGTGTCTTACTTTTATGGGGAGATTAAACATGACAGAAAAATGAAGAAGAAGGAGAAGAACAGTGACATGGAAGCAACAGAGATGCCTCAACTTCAGTATACCTGATTTTGGAGTGATTGTAAATTGGCAATGTAATAATATGTGCAGGGTAATTAATCGAGTATGGTAAGACAAAAGAGTGACCTTAGCTTCACCCATAAAAAGAGTGTTGGAATGGTCAAATCATGTGGAGCATCATTATGGTTTAAATTCTTGGCTAAATATATATATGGTTGTTGTTTTGTGGTTAAATTTGTGGTGACAATTCCTTATTAAATAAGATTCCTATCCTTATGCAACCACCGTTCACTGCCCATACTCTTTTATTCTGGCCAAACTTGTTATTTCTTTCATTTACTGTGGTAACCACTTCCGTACAAGAATAAATTAATTCAAATCATTACTACTATAAAAATTTCTTCAAAGCTAAAACTATTCAAAACAATTATAAATGTACTCTAATTTTTTTTCTTTCAGATTTTTCATTATTTTCTTATAATATTATATATCATGCTCTGTTTTAGTATGTTTACCTTTTTTTCATTGTTACATCTTTTATGCACTTGTATGCTCAAAATTGGGTGGAACTTTAGTAGTTGTCAATAAAAAATTACATTTTTATATTTATTATTGGTTTATTATTAAAAAAACTATAAGATAAATATTCCATAAGTCAAAATTTACTAATAAAAAATAAAGCAAATATTTACTAATAATTTAATATATATATATATATATATATAAAATTATTGATTTTATTTAAATTATTAAAAAAATATTTTATTCTCCCTAATATTATATATTTAAACTTATTAATCGATGTTATATAATAGACATATCTATAATTAAGATTACAATCCCAAGTTTTGTTTTGGACAATTTTCTTTCTATCAAGAGAATAAAAATAATAAACTTTTTTATAAATTAAAATAAAAAGTAAAACACCTGGTAAACTTCTAAGTGTAATATTTTACAAACTTCTAAAAAACTTTCACTCTCACGTTAACTAGATATATCTGGCAAAAGTTTATTTATCCCTGCAACAATCATAATTTGCTGACCTAGTCTCAAGGATATGCAGAAACAAATTAATATTTATATAAACACATTCTCTTTGGGTATGTTTTGACTTGAAGTGTACAAGAGTCACTACCTTCAGGTTCCGTTTGATTGTGAAAATAGAAAAGGGTGAAAGAAACTATAAATAATACTGAATTAAATACAATATATTGTTTTTATTTATCTCTATCTTTTTCATTTTTTATTTATTTTCAAGTAGACACTTTCAACTTTTATTTCACTTCTCATTTATTTCTTTGGTGTGATTTTAAACTTATTAATTTTGAACTTGGCGACATTTTAATTTTATCGTTACTTAGTCTTTAATTAAAAAAAGTCCAAACAAATTCAAGAGACCATTCATAACAAGTACCGTGATTTCATTTTCTCCTTTATTTGGGAAAAGTACACTTTTAAAAGAAAATTAATGATTTGAACAATTTTAAAAAAGATTACGTAAATAGGAAAATCGTAATAAAAAAATTATGAAAAGGAAATTGTGTTATCAAATATGATTTTTATTTTTTTATTATATTTTTAATTTTTTAGTTGTTATCTTTTATTATTTATTATTAAAATTATGTAATTATTTATTTTAATGATAAATTTTATAATAATAATTACATTAAATTTTTTTGAAATTCAGTAAATAACTATTATTTTTTACTAAAAAATTAACGTTAAGAAATTAAAAATATTATTAATTAATTTTTTTCATTAATACTTATTATTATTATTATATTTATTAATTTACAATTTAATAAATTATTAATAATAATGAAATATAAAAAAATAATTTAATTATTTATTAATCAGTAATAATTAGAATAATAGTAAATTTAATAATATAACAAGTATTAGTTATTTTATTTATAATGTCTTTATTTTTATCATTAATATCATTATTAATTTATTATTATTACAATTATCTTACTTATTTTTATTATTAATAATTTTTACAATAATAATTTAATTTAATTAATTTTTTTATTAATTAAATAATTACAATTATTATTCTTATATTATAATTATCATTATTAATAATTTTATTAAATTGTAAAACAGTAATAATAATAATAACAATAAGTATTAATGGAAAATTTTAGTTAATAATTTATTTTATTTTTTAATATTATTGTTTTTAGTTAATAATAATAATTATTTAATTATTTATTTTAATTTTAATGTAAATTTCTTATAAAAGTTATTATTAACAAGAAATAATTATGATAATTTTAATAGTAAATAATAACATTAAAATTTATATTAATAATAAAAATAAAAATAATACTAAAGATAAAAATATTATAAATAGATTAATACTTAATATAATTATTAATATTACAATTAATTAATAATATTTATCATAAATAATAAATAATAATTATTTTTTATGATTGATTTTTAAATAATTATTTTACTTGTTTATACTAAATTTAATATTAATAATAAATAAATATAAATAATTATAATAATAATTATATATGTATAAATAAAATAATACCAGATAACATGATTTCATTAAAAGACAATAAAAAAAGTAAAAAAATAAAATAGTCTTTGTACAATTATTTTAGGTAGTCATCCTTATCATTTTCGTAAATTTTAAGAAATTATCCAAGTCCGTAATTTGTTTTAAATTGTTCAATTTTAGTGTTTTTCCCTCATTATGTACTCTGCCATTAATTTAATAATAAAAATTTAATTATTTTTACTTCATTTAATTATTCCGGGCAACCAAATTGAATCCCGTCACAACAAATCAGCACCGTCAGTCCATGTGCCCGGAGATGGCGAACCGCTCCCTCTCCGCCGGAATCAGACGGTACGCCCAACCCCTTTTCTCTCCCCGCTTCTTCATTTCCATTAAGCTACTAACTCAGAAAATTTAACTGCATCAGTTTTGTGTTAGGCGCAAGAACTCTGTGCAGCACGGTTGCTTCTCGGGCTTCCTCGTTCTACGTGCCCTTCTTGAGCAAACTCAAATCCCCGAAGCAGAATCCATTGCTGGCGCTTCAAAATTGGGTGGACGAAGGCAACAATGTTTCACCCTACCAGCTCAGAAGCATCGGTAGAACCCTCATCAAATGGAAACGCTACCACCACGCCCTCGAGGTTCGATTTTCTTCTGCCGTCTATTTTACTTTAAGTACTTAATGGCTTCCAATTTTGTGCTCACTTTTGGCACCCAATTTTTTTCCCGGGACACAAATGCTTGTGAGAGATTTTTATTTAAATTTCAGAATTTGCTTAAGACGCTGATGCATACATTGCCGAGTTGCATCAACATAATGATGAGGAAGCAGTGTTGTAAGGAATTCAAAATAGAAAATGAATTATAATGTCATTAAAAAAAAAAAATTTAACAGAGCCCTAATTTGCTCTCCTGTGCTTGCGATCCCAAAACGACCATTGATGGGTCATTTCACTAAACTCTTGTTTGTTTCTGGACTCGTTGACTTCGCATCTAACTCATGAGTCCATCGAGTCCACCTAAACATGAGTGTATGCACGAGTTAACTCGAAACCGTGTTTTGGACTCGTAAACTCATCTGGTTTTATGGGTTCGATTTCGATAACCATGAATCGCACCTCCGTGGTGGATGTGGATCATGGGTGTCTAATTTATTCCAAGTTTTTATGTTGTTGCTATTTTAAGTCTTGAGCTTGACTAGTTGAGCATAAGGCTGAGTGCGTAATTGGAGTATCATTGAGAATGTAAGTAGATTTAAATTTTTCTACCTTTTAAAGTTTCATATGGAAATAGTGAAACAATTTTTCTTGTAAGTTATACAATAGATTCATAATTCATTTAATGAAGATAAGCAAGTTTGAAAAGCAATAGTTAGTTGGAAGACTTGGTTTTCATCTAGTAAGCAAAACTCTTATGAGAACAATTTGACATTTTTTGATGTAAATGATCCTCCTTAATGACATTGATTATAGTAATTATGAGTGACTGGTGGCAGAAATGGGTGGATGTGGGTTTTTATGAAAATGCTTTGACTTGGAAAGTTTTTGCTGCGTAGTTTGGGCTAGTGAGGCTACAGTGTTGGCTAAACTACAAAAAAAATTGAAGAAAACAGCTTCAAGGCATTCAAGCTATAGTGCAGGGGATATTATTGAAGATGGAGAGGAAAAAGTTGCACATAATGTAGAAAGTGAAGAGGGAGGAAAAGGAAGAGAATGAGATGAGTATATTATTGATGAAAGCAATAATCTTGAATAATGCTCAGAATATATTTAGCTTATGCGTTAGAGGGCTAAACTTATTTAGCAATTGGTTTGGTGCTGTACTCTTTATTTTGTTACTCCTCCTGTATTGACTTATTGTTTTTAGTTATGCCATAGAATAACTATGATTATGCCTTTTAAATAATGAGTTTTGACAATTAATGATGGGGATGTCTTAAAGTGCATTAATATGCATGTAGTAGAATTTATTTGCATTAAGTCATCTATTTTTGGATTGAGCACTCTGCAAATCGACTGTACCATTATTGTTTTTGGGCCAGCCACTTTGCCCTACTTTCAAGGATCGGCTGTGTAAGGCATTTCATAACATACAGTTGCTGATAAGGGATTCTTTCAATTTTTGGCAAGCATGTTATTGCATCTCAAATAGGTTTTGAGAAGGTAAGTCAAGCAATTTAAATTTGTTAATTATTCTTTTATACAGTTACTTAAATGGATTGAAAACCAGAAGAATTTCCATATGGTCCCAGCTGATCATGCTATGAAATTGGAGTTAATCATTGAAAATTATGGTCTAGTGGAAGCTGAAGAATATTTTATGAATCTACCTGACTCAACTGCAAAGAAGGCTGCCTGTCTTACTCTTCTACGTGCCTATGTAAGAGATCGGGGCACTTGTAAGGCAGAGGCGTTAATGGTGAAGCTCTATGAACTGGGCCTAGTGGTGAGCCCTCACCCTTTTAATGAGATGATGAAGTTGTATCTAGTGACATGTGAGTACAGGAAGGTACCCCTTGTTATCCAGCAAATGAAGCGGAATAGAATACCCTGCAATGTGCAGTCGTACAATCTTTGGATGAATGCTTATATTGAGGAAGAAGGATATGGGATTGCAGCGGTGGAGACAGTTTTTAGACAAATGCAAAATGACAAGAACGTTGAAGTGGGATGGAGCAGTCTTGCTACATTAGCCAATGTTTATATCAAAGCAGGACAATCTAAGAAAGCCACTCTGGTTCTCAAGGATGCCGAAAAGAAACTATCTACCTGCAACCGTCTTGGTTACTTCTTCCTCATAACACTATATGCTTCTTTGAAGGAAAAGGAAGGAGTGTTGCGGTTATGGGAAGCTAGTAAGGCAGTTGGTGGAAGAATCAGTTGTGCTAACTACATTTGTATACTAACATGCTTGGTGAAACTTCAGGACATTGTACAAGCCAAGAGAATCTTCTTAGAATGGGAATCTAATTGTCAGAAGTATGATATCAGAGTCTCTAATGTTCTTTTGGGTGCATATATGAGGAATGGATTAATGGAAGAAGCAGAATCATTACATCTCCACACATTGCAAAAGGGTGGTTGTCCAAACTATAAGACAATGGAAATTCTTGTAGAAGGATATGTGAATAAGAAAAAAACAGATGAGGCTATTATTGCAATGAAAAGAGCTTTGGCTATGATGAAAGACTGCCATTGGAGGCCGCCACATGGACTTGTGTTAGCCGTTGCGGAGATTTTGGAGAAAGATGGAAATCTTGAATATGCAAACAAGTATATTGCAGATATCCATAATTTTGGTCTTACTAGTTTACCATTGTATAAAATATTACTAAGAATGCATCTTTCTGCGAACAAACCGCCTTTCCATATCCTTAAAATGATGGTTGAAGATAAGGTTGAGATGGATGATGATACGCATTCCATCGTTAAAGCTTTCACGGGTTAAGTAACATCAATTGCATTATGTTTTCTTGATTGCTTATTACAAGTTGTGCAGTTTTCCCCACTAAGAATAATTTTTGTTTTGTGGATGTGTTCAGGCTGAAATGTTTGTAGGTCAAGCGGTAATCTGGAAGTCAATTTCATTCTTGGGTAATTCCTTTCTTTAGTACACAAGTTAACTTTTTTCGTACCTAAGATGATAAGACCATATTTTCATCAGATAAAGAAACCAACGTCTTTATAAATATTAGCAGCTTACTAGATACCCCAATAACTTCAGTTATATATTTCTGTAAGTTCCATACGTGCAATGCAAGCTCTTTCGTAATAGCAGTGATGCTATAAAACAGTAATTTCAGTACGGCTCAGGGTCCATTTATTTATGCGCATTTTCATCCTTGTTTGCTATCAATTTGAGGCTAAGCTTGAGAATGTTTGAAAGGTGCCCTTGTTATTATTAGTTTGATGTTGACCAAAGGAGTACCCATTCAGCTTATATGAGACCGTGAGAAACAAACCAAAGAACCCAAATGCACTTTGGTGCCTTGCTAGGATGAAGTTCCACTCCAAAAACTCTTAAATAACAACAGTTCTTGTACCAAAAATTCACATTGGTTACCTCGTGCTTGAATAGGGAATTTCATAATTTTCAAAAAATTCAAATATATTAAATTTGAATTATTTTTATTTCAAAATATTTAAATTTTTTAATTTTTTTAGATAAAACAATTCAAATTTATTAAACTTTATTTTTCTTATTTGGATAGTCTTTCAACTATTATCAAATATAAAATTTATTTTAAAATTAAAAAATATTTACTAATATAAAAATATAAGTTAATGATGCATTCAGTTGAAGTTAGTCGAGTTTATTTTTAAGCTCAAGTTCACTATGACAAACTTGAACAATTTATATATTATTTCAGTCTACATTGATTTTGAGAACCCTGACTATGTCGGTTTTGAAATAACCTTGACTTATATCAATGAATAATTCCAACAATGCCTACTGAAAAATAACCCTTATTAATATTGACTAAAAATTCCTAACTTACCTAGGATGAAAAATAGTCTCACTAACATTGATTAAAAAAATTCTAATTGACTTCGATTGAAAAAATAACCCTACAAAATGTTGGTTGAGAAAACTCTTACTAATGTTGGCCGATGCATAACCCCCACCTAACCTAAGATTTGATCGATGCTGGTAAAAAATAACCTTAATTAACATCGATTGAAATTAAAATTAACTTGTGTTGATGTCAACCGAAAAAGATCTTGTTTGGCATCAATTGAAAACTAATTTTGATGTTATTCAAGAAATAACACTGGCTTATTTAAAAATAAAATCATGGTGTACTTCTACTTTAAAGAAGCCTTTATTGACATTAATTGAAACATTAACTTCTCGACCTTTGCATAGCCAATGACATCTCAGTCAAGAACAAGCTAAGAAGATAATGTAAAAAGATGAGACATATATTTGAGAGACCAGAGAGTACGAAGAATTTTTAATCCTTTCATTTTAGGTGAATTTGAAATTTTGTGCTAAGCAATCAATTACTCTTATAAATTTCTAGAATTTTAATTTCTTTTAAAATTTTCTATCCAAACAACATATTTCTTTACAAGACATTTCAAATTGTCCATAAAAATGAATAACTCTTTAAAAGTTTCCTATCCAAACACACTATTAATCTATCATATCCAATATTACTATTCAAAATAGATCAATTTTCTCTTGTTCCAAATAGCCTTAAAGATACTAAAAATCCATAACTGAATATCAACCTTTGCTTGCACACTCCAATTCCCTTTAAGCACATCTAGTACTGAAACCAGGGAATCTGTATTTATAGAGCAATTAATACAATTGCTGGACCATGACCATAATTTGACTGTTAACAAAAAATTAAGGAAAATGTGCTCAGCAGATTCTGCAGCACGATAGTTATGAATTATACGTCTTTTATCAAATTATGCTCTGTATTGTGATAGGTTTGTTTCATAGTAGATTTTGGTTTGGGTTCCTCTGTTTTTTTTGTGTGTTTCTTATTCTTATATGATATTGAGTGTTGCAAATGATTGATGTTATTTGTGATGCCAACATAGTTGAGATGACAAACTAAATACCTCTTGAGACAGACTATGACTGCCGTGAGTGCTCCCTGGGACTTCTATGATTTCTCAACCAATTATCCTCATTTTTACACCAACTTGGTAGCTACACCCTTCTTGTTAGGGTTTTACGAATCTAGAGTCTTACTGATAGATCTACTCTAAGATTTAATCTATGTTTATTATTCTTTATTAGTGTACTTCATCTATTTGCGTGTATTTAGTTTATTTCCTCTACAAGCTTTATGGTTTGAAAATTGTGTTTAAAGATAATGGGTTTTGTATTTAGGAATAGAACAAAACTTATTTGTATTGTTTTGAAAACCCCTTATTCTTAATGCAAGTTGTTTGGTTTAGCTATTCAAAGGATTTACAGTTTAATTGAAGAACTTGTTCTTTCTCACTAAGGGATTAGGTTTGAGATCTATTATATATTGATGTTAATAAATTAACTCTAAGCTTGTTAGAACTGGCTTACTGCCTGGGGAAAAGGTTGGGTGAAATTAAACTCCATCATCTTATTAGCTTGTTTAATCCATGTTTTGCTACTTGCTACATGTTTGACAAAATACCTTCATAACTTTTACATCATATTCTGCTTGTTAATTTATTTGTTTTATTTAAATTCTTGCAAATAATTGAAATCGTATTTCTCGTAGATGTAGTTAGTGAACGGTGTGTTTGGCCAATTTCATGTGAGTCACCATGGAGATGGTCTCTTACTTTTTGGGTACTATTGTGCTAATAATTGGTACGGGTGCCAATCATACTGGTTTGGGAGAGAGTTTTACTGAATGATTGAAATGTTAATTTTTTTTTATATGCCTACGGTATTAATGATGATATTTCAAACAAATAAGATTTGCAACACCAATTGTTTTTATCTTACCATTCCAGATTGCACCAGCTGTATAAAGACACAAGTTCAATCATGGTGTATATATTTGTTTGTACTATTCTATTGATCACTTTTATTTCTTGAGTTTTCAGCCTCCTTTTTTTTTTTCACTTTTCTCCTATTTCTATATACATGAATATTCGTTTTTGTTTTTGATGTTCATGCATTTATTTATGTTTTGCAGCTCAGCATTGTTGTCGAGTTAAGTTACAAAGCCAAATGAGGTCAGTGGTAATAGACAACCAGATCGATTGACAGAGCCTAACCATGATTTGAGAACTCGTGATTGGACAACTCCATGTGACTTTTGGTGGCTTTCGCTGGGCACTGTATTTTGGGTAGCATGTTGAAGGGCAAACTGCAAACAACTAGTAGAATTGACAATTTTGGTCTTCCAATTGTACAAAATATTGCTTAGGATGCACTTTGCTGATGAAGAACTGGCCTTTCCATCTTCATATTGTTTGAAAAGTGATGTGAACTTTTTATTCTTTTAGCATTTGACAGACCTCACTTTTATTGGAGACATCCGTACTTGTTTCCTGTAGGAAACGTATGTTTTTTCTTGGGGAAAATTCAATTCATGCATCTTGTACGTAGATGTTTAGGTTAAAGCAAGCGGAGCACGAGCAGAAATGTGAATCAACAGATGCTGAAAGATTTTGTAGGATCTGAATCAGAACAGAATTCAGAAAAGGATTTCTGTCCAATATCAACGGAGAAGTGTCATCCATTCATCAATCAGTTACAACATATTAGTAAATTTCTTTCAACAGGTTTCCTTGATTTAATAATAAAGACAGCATCTTATAACATGCACGTGTAAAAATATATTAAGAATGGTCATGGAATTGTCTTTCAAACTACTATTTCATGTGAGTAAATGTTTCCCCTTCGATACATTCATTACAAGAAACGATCATTTCCTTGGTAGTTTTCGGCGTTTCCAGCATGTTGACCATGAGCTCAGGTTCGTGTCTATTTTCATGGCAATACATAATTTATATATTATCAAACATTAAGTAAGCGTCATATTACATGATATTGATGGGAATAAAGCCTTTTCAAGTGGATGCAGATGTCAAGATCCTGTGGAAGGCCTTGTTGTGGTTAAGCAGTTTATCACGAGGCGGCATGCATTCTTTGATAACAGGAACCTCAAGAAAATCATCAAACCAAGAATCAAGCTTTGTCATTAAAACTTTATCAATCAGATTTATACCCACAATTTCCTCCACTATTGGTACCCATTATCCAAGCCAGCCAATGGCAATATCAGCAAAGCCTATTTTTTCACCTCCAAAGTAGTGTTTTCCCCCTAATCCACCTTCAAGTGTCTTCAGAATCTCTCGAGCGTCTTGTGCTGCCTTCTGTTGTTCTTCCCCTCCTTTGGAAAAGGTGGCCATAACAGCTGGCACACAGAGAATAGTAATAGTTGAGTGTTAAAAAGGGGGGAAAAGGGCAAATGATAATATGCTGTATTCTAAATTATTACTACCTTTTCATCAACATAGCTGGACCAGAATCGTGCCTTGGCCTTTTCATAGGGATCATCTGGAAGAAGAGGATTTTGCTTCCAGGTCTCATCAATATACTCAAGAATCACTAGTGATTCTGCCAGGGGCTTACCGTCATGCACAAGAACCGGTTCCTTCTTGTAAACTGGGTTATACTGCAGGAGCATGGCACTCTTGTTGCTGAGATCTTCTTCCACATATTGGTACTGGATTGGATCCCTTTTAGTTCAAGAGCCCACTTGACCCTAAGGGAAAATGGACTACCCCAGAACCCCAGTAACGTCACCGATTCTTCTGCCATTTTTTTCTTTCTTTCTGTCTGAACTGCGAATAAAAACATTCACATCTCTCTCTTTCTCGTATCTTTATAGGTATTATTTAGTTATTTATTATTAACCAATCAATCAGAAGTAGCGTATACTTGTACACGTTGAGGGGTCCCCTGTATATTTGAGAAGAAAAAAGATATCACACCGAGGATGAATTAGTCAAGTGCTCAAGTAAAAAATTATCCAATCGGAAACGCCGCAAGATATTTTGAAGAGAAGAGTGACTACGGGTCAAATCATTCAGGCTCAATAATGGAGTTGGAATGGAGCTTTCTCGACTCTTAATTGTCAAATGATTCTATCTACAACCTTAAAAAAAATAGATTTTTTTTCTTAATATTTCTCGTTCGCCATTTTGTATTTTTTTTCTTCAAAAAACACTTTCCTTAAACTAAAATTTAAAAGATTTTAACATTAATTACATTTCGGAAACTAGTTTCTGAAGTGGGATGTATTTTGTAATTATTTTGGAATGTAGTTTTTGAAATTAAGTTCGATTTTGTAATTATATTTTATAAGGTTCGTGGTATACACAACATTTGCACCGTTAACTTTAAAGACAATGTTATTTTTATGCAATAATATAAATCATGCTGACACAACCTACACAACCCACCATTTTTTTTTAAACTTGGTTGGAGAACGCCATTCCTATGGACAAACATCATTTGAAACTCAATCAGTTATAACACGGTTTCCATATTATCGCTTGGAATCCATCCCCAAATCAAGCATGAACTGTAATAGACCAAAAACCTTAAACCATTCCTACAAAAGGATGACTACATCGTTTAGTTCCACCTTATTTCATATCATAACTCGAATTATGGCAAGAGGAAAATCCTCTAAATCATCTGCAAGAGTTCTAGTGCAACTCTTTAGTAGGAAGACAAAGTCTAATTCAAGTGCCCATTATAATGTGCATGTATATATATATATATATATATATATATATATATATATATATATATATATATATATATATATATATATATATATATATATATATGCTTATGGTGTATTTAATAACAACCACACTTTTTTGTGAAGGGCAAATTCAGGGTCTGCAAAGTAAAACACACTTTAATTGAACAGTGTGTAGTCAAAGAATATTTAAAACCAATTGCCTGCTAAAGTATTTAAATGATTTTAAATCTTTAAAATATGCACATGATAATGAAAATGAATACCAAATTTCACAATAAAAAATTTTTAGAAAAAAGAAAAAGAAAAAGAAACTCAAATAAACTCCCTAACCACATATTCTCTTAAACCCAACATATGAATAACATCAAATTTATTTGAAATAAATGCACTTTTAGATATTTTTCCCCCTATTCTCTAGGTAATATATTTTTACCCTTTTTTTTAATATAAACTCCCCAATTTAATGATGTATTGATGGTATTATCACCACAATAACTGATAGGTATCACTGGTAGCAGTTTGGTGGAGGAGAACATGAACGGCGGTTAAAAGACAGAAAAGGGCATGGAAGAAAGGAGGTGAGGGGAGTGAGCGATTGGATACGCACATGAATCCTCGTGGCTGTCAACTGTGGAGTCACGTGTCATGTGGGGCTCTTTGCTCGTCGGTTTGTAATTTCAGGAACAAACAAAAACAGGCGCATGCCACGTGAGGCAACCAAATATATAATCTTACTGTGGACGCGCCCACCGCATAACATAACCCCTCTTCTCAAGCAAGTTAGGTTTGGTTTTTAGAAAAGAAAAGAACACACACTTCACCACGCCATACACGACACCAAGACGCTTCTTTTTTTTCACCAAACATAACACCATCAAGATAACTCTTATTTCACCTATTTTCCCCAATTCTTGGATCCGAGATTTCTAGGGTTTCTGCACCAATCTTCTCCGACATTCTTCTCTTTCCCATCTATTCCCTTTGTCTCTTCTCTTCCATTCCAGACCCTCCTTCACTCCAAACCTAAAAGGTTCGTTCTTTTCGCGCTATTTTTTTTTATGTCCAATAATTGCTGTTTTATTATTAGTAACCCCAGCTTGATCATTGGGTAAATGTTAATTTTCACACGGAACCAATTTTTTTCTGGTGGCGGGGAACAGGGGTTTCCCTTTTCCCCTTCCCTCTTTGCGTGCCTTATAATAATGCCTGTGTTTTCTTGGAATTGGATGTGATTGTGAAAATACATTTATATGTATCAGACGGGTTTTCGATTATTGTTAATGTTCTTTGTATTGATTGTAGACGACAGGCCAAAGTGTGAAATAGGGATTTGCTTGGTTGATGGGGCTGTTGTGATAGTTTTTTAACGTTAACCGATGTTATGAGGAAGAAAAGGAAAGGAAGCGAGACCGATGCATCTGCGGATCTGCCTGTTATTTTGGTTCCTAATCTTGGCTCTGCTTCGTCGAATCTGAAGTCCCATTACTCGCTAGAGGATTGTTCTAGGCTGAAGAAGAGGTGTTGTAAAGAGGATGATGCTGACACTGAACCAGCTGCTTCCTTTAAAAGGAGGATTGCAGGTATTGCCACTGCACCACCTTGTGGGACTTCTTCGTTGATCACACCAGGGCGAGGGCTGAAGAGGAAGATTGGTTGCATTGAGGTTGCTACCCAGATGGGCAGGAAGAAGAAGATTGAGGATGATTATGTGTCTGGTGAGACGATTGGGCAAGGCAAGTTTGGGTCTGTTTGGTTGTGTAGGTCGAGGGTTAGCGGAGCAGAATTTGCGTGTAAGACCCTGAGGAAGGGGGAGGAGACCGTTCACCGAGAGGTTGAGATTATGCAACACTTGTCTGGACATTCTGGGGTCGTGACATTGCAAGCAGTTTATGAGGAAGCTGATTGCTTTCATCTCGTGATGGAGTTGTGCTCTGGGGGACGACTTATCGATCGGATGGTTAAGGAAGGGCCATATTCAGAACAGCGGGCTGCTAATGTACTCAAGGAAGTGATGTTGGTCATCAACTATTGTCATGACATGGGAGTTGTGCACAGAGATATCAAACCTGAGAATATTCTGCTCACAGCATCTGGGAAAATAAAGCTTGCTGATTTTGGCTTGGCCATGAGAATTTCAGAAGGTAACATGTGAAACTTGTCTTGATTCTTTAACTTTGCTTCCAATCTGCCATTTGTAAAAATGTATCAAGTTCAGTAACTATCAAGAAAAAAAATGTATTGGGCTATGGCGGATATGCTACTGTTCCTAGTTCATGTTTATTTGTTTCAGTTTCTGTTATTAATTGAAGGAATTCACCATAATGAGTTTTCAACTTAAATCAGCCATGAATTTGAAAGTGATTGCATTTTGTGGTAGGGTCCACATTGTTTGCATCTTATTTTAAGCAATTGCAAATATCATGTGTTTGGCATTTTTATTTTATTTTATTTTTTTAGTCGGGTTCCATACATTAAAAAATTATTCATGTATTGTTAACTAGAGTTTTGTATAATCTCAGGTCAGAACTTGACTGGCTTGGCTGGAAGCCCTGCCTATGTTGCCCCAGAAGTATTGTTAGGCAGATACTCTGAGAAGGTGGATATATGGAGTGCCGGAGTGCTCCTTCATGCTCTGTTGGTTGGGAGTCTTCCATTTCAAGGAGATTCATTGGAAGCAGTTTTTGAGGCTATTAAGACCGTCAAATTAGATTTCCAAACTGGGATGTGGGAATCAATATCAAAACCTGCACGAGATCTTATTGGGAGAATGCTGACAAGGGATATTTCAGCGAGGATATCAGCCGACGAAGTACTTAGTAAGTTCATGATATATTATGAATGAATTGTGGATTACCTGTTTTATCTTTCTTCCTCCCTCCATGATGAATGCACCCAGAAATGTTGTGTAACTCTCTCTCTCTCTCTCTCTCTCGTTTATTTCATTGAAATAATCAAAACTCGGAATTTATGCAAGTTTACTTCAAATTTATATTTTTTATCACAATGACTAAGTAAATAGATGTGCTACATACTTGATTTCAACAACCTTGTTTAGCTGTCTTTGATTAGCTGTTAAATGATTATACCCTTCTGTACTAGTGTTTTTATCGTTTTTTTTCTTGGTATAACGGTGAATATGCTAATCCGCACGTACTTTGTTTCATTACACGTTCCCCATGTATGCTAATGGTACTCTTTCAAGTATGTGCCTAATATTTTCTGGACCAGAAGTAAAGAAACCTTCAATGTTTGAGATAGTTTTAAGTTGACTGCTTTGCGTGTTATATTAACCTCATGGTCCAATTTCAGGGCATCCGTGGATATTGTTCTACACGGCACATACATTGACGATGCTGCCCATCAAAACAAAAATGAAAAACCAAATTGGTGCCACATGCCAACCGCTTGTTGCTGTTCCTGAACCAGGGCTAGGAGGAAATGGGATAGATAATTTCTCACTTAGCGAGGGTTCATCCTCCGAAAGTTGCAATTCAGATGATCAGGATGAATGTTTACTGATTGATGTGCTTGCTTCTGCAATTTCACATGTGAGGATATCTGAACCAAAGAGGAGCAGGGTGTGTGGTCCCACAGGTCCGATAGTTCAACAAGCTTCATCTAACATGAAGCCTAACAACCTTTGTAAAGCATTTTGACCTACTGACAGGCTGACACCAAATATACCCACTTATCTTGACTGTTCTTGCTGGGATTATAGAATCTACTTTCCCCAACACATCACACAGTGGGCTAAAGTGAATTTTAGATGCTGACTCCTATGGTGGTAGGTTGGCCTGGGTGCCGCTTCCTCTCCAAGTTCCTTTTTAGTGTGAGATCTAATTGCAAATTTTTTTGTCCCTTTGCTTAATAACCTAATAATGATTAACTGAAATAATTGTACAGCATTTGTAATTAGAATGGTATTGTATCATTTTCTTGCTATCGCTTGTTTATGCAAATTGAATATTTTATCCTTGCACATTATAAAAACCTGTTAACATATCTTCTTTAGAAAGATCATAGATTATCCCAGACGATACCCCACGTCCTTCCCAGTACAAGCTGCATCTATCGTTAGTTAGTTAACTAGAGCTGACTCTGCATTCAATCCATCGTCCTGGAGTTAACTTTCATCTTGATCACTTAAATTTGTTAACTGTTTCTAAGTTTCAGAATTTAAACTAATGAAAAAAAATAGTCTTTTAAGTATATTATTGCCTATTTTAATTAGTGTAATTTATATCTACACATCAAGCACATTTAAAACCAATTTTTTTCTTAGAGTAACTATTCTCATCTTCATCTGGGCTATCGTTGCTTTTCCTTTTTTGCCGTGATTACAGCATTATCAATAATTTTCGAACTTAATGAACAAACACTGTTACTAAAGTTCTAGCATAACACTGATGATGTCATAATTACAACTGTTTGATAACATTAGTACATAAGTTCAAATTTTGTGTATTGAGTAGGTTCTACCAATTTATTATCTATCTGGAGTAAAAATAAACCTGATTTAAAAGAACCTTCTCTTTTAAAGGTTTACACTGAGATTCAATCCCGTCGCGGTACAATGATTCGTAATTTCCTTTTAGCATCGCACGGTGCTGTTGGCAACAAAAACAAACCAGATAACTCCACCATTATGATATTGTACCATCAACTGAGAAAAAATCATGGGTGCTATTAACTACAACATTTATCAAAATATTCACATGACATTTTTTAGAGAAAATAGGATTTTGCGATCTAATAAACAAGCATTGTATCCTTTCTATTACACAACTTTACCACTTCGACCAAAAAACATAACTGGGAAGTCGGAGAATTTTAACTGTAAACTGCAACAGGTAGTGTAGCTTTTCTGTACAACAAGATTAGGGATAATAGTGATTAGTGAGTAATCCCAAGAAGGCCGTGAGTAAAATCTTTCAGTTACGAGCCATCATTTTCTGGACACCTTTGACCAGAAGTACACTATTAAGAAACAGATTAATGCAAAAGCAAGCACGTGAACAACGTGGTTGGCACCATTTTGGATGATGCTCTTGTTCAATCTTCTTAAATTATTCTTCACTCCAGCTTGAGCTTTTAACATTGTCGTTTGCTGTTTTTAAAACAGACACAATCAAAATATTAATAAGACGGTTGGATAATTCCTTGCCAAAAATAATAGAACATGCCAATGTCTGGTGAATTACTATCCAACAACAATCAATAGAAATATCCAAAGAACTTTCCTCTGTACTCATTTTCGTAAGTTTAATCCTAGTAATTCGAAAATTATAAAATATTGGACTAAGTATTCACTAATTTATGAAAAAAACATTTAAGTATTACTTTATAACTTTCCTTCTTCTATCCATAAGTTGTCATAATGCAACTCAACGCAGGAATAATCCTTTGTAACCATCCCAATTAACGAGGATCCATCGGCACAAGGTCAAAAAAACATCTAGCTTCAATCCTGAATAGAGATCCACAAGAAGCGTAGCATGTGTGTGGGGTATAACTTTTCACAACACCTTTTTACTTGTACACTCCCTCCCACATTAATGTTACTTTTTCTCGAAACATACCTCTGTTCAGAAATTAACTTTCAGAATTTATGGCAATTACTAGATGCTCCGGTATTTAGTTTCTAAAATGTTATTAAACACATTTCAAAAACTAAATTTCCAAAGTGTTAAAATAACACACCCGAAAACAAAATTCCAGAAGAGGAAAATCTGAGCTCTATTGTTTCCAAATGCCCGTGAAACAGGGCAGATAGGAAGATCGATGGTGTGTGATGGGTTGTAACGAACAACATGCAGAACAAAAAGGAAAAGTGGAACTCATGGGAAGAGGGCTATGGTCTAGGAAAGTAAACAACTAAACAGTAACTTCCAATTGCGTGGATGAGCAACAAGGATACAAGAATGCAACGTGTGGAGAACAACTATGTTCAGTCCCATCCATTCATGTAATCCACATTTGAAAAGAAAACTGTGTACAGAACCGAGAGGAAAAAAAAGTTATTGGTTCACATATACTCATTTAAGAGGAACATTTAAAAAGATATATTCCCAAGAGTAACCAGATCCACTTCACTCCACACCTACAAATGCTAAATTGATCATCCCATTTTGAGGTATGGCATCAGAGTGATTGCAGATGGCCATCACCACCACTCATCCAGTGCCAACATCCTCACCACTGTTTAACAGCAGCAGGACTTCCACACCATCCTCCCCTACACCAACCAACATTCAATGTTTATCCAGAATTGTTTTTTTAGGTCAGAGATTCAAAATGTATATGCAGCATTAACAGTATGGTTTCCCATTTTAAGTCTTATGAGGCAATTAGAAGCTAGATTTTTAATTGAGAAACATTTCCTGCCACAGACACACCAAGCATGTCACATTTCAATATCTATAGAATTTAAAACGTCAAAAGCATATAAATCCATTTTGCCTGAAGCATAAAGCAGGCAACTCAGGGGTCTAGGCAATCAACATGCACTCACCTATCTCCACCCAAAATTTGAAACAAGCAAAAAATAATAAAAACTGTGCAAAATTGCGTACCACTTGTTCCAGAAAATCTCTTTGATACTTGACCTCTGTACCTATATCTTCAGCAACCTGCAGCAGAACGTGTGAGTTTCATTTCATGCGAACATCATTTAGGAATCAAAAAAGGGAAAAGACAGGGAGAGAAAAAACATGCATATAAGAAAGGGAAGAGAAAGAAAAATTTGGGGAAAATAGGGAAATTGTGCAATACACTCTTCAATTTTCGAACTTGACCACGAAGACCGGTGATTTCGTCGTCGAAGTCGAAGCCAGAGTCTATATGCAATTGAATTTCATCGGAGGATGCAACGGGTCGGGTGCTAAGTCCCTCTCTGCAATTGTGGCAAAATTCAATTGATGCAAAACTCTCAGTAACGAATGTAAGATAGAGAAAGGCGTAACCTTGATCGATAAAAAGCAGCGTCACCATAGAAGGAGGCACCCTTGTGCGGATTGGTGGACATTGAAATCGAAATTGAGAACCCCAAGAACTGAATTTAATTGAATTTCAGAAAGCGAGGAAATGAGTTGCACACAATTCAATTCAACCTAAAGATTCATTGAATTGATTACAAATTCCAAGTTACAATTCTATCCCAAATACATGCTGTCATTCACGAAATCATGTCTGATTTAATTTTAAAATATAAAATATAAAAATATGAAAAAAAATTAATTTATATTTGTCAACTATTTATTTTGTTCCCTATGAGTAAAGCTTTATAAAGTAAATATTATTTTGTGTTAAAACATAAAGCTATATAGCATGCATTGAAAACAACAAAGTCTACCCTCTCTTGATGATATAAAGCTGCTACTAAATCATAATAAAATATAGGGTTATGGACAAAAGGTCTCAAAATCAAATGTGGTCACAAACATCTTTGTATTGTCCTACAACACTTACAATTTTGCCATGTGAATTTATTATTGCTGATTTCAACATTATTTATGTTCCAATTCTATGAAACACTCATCCTTTACCTTATTTAAATAAACAAACATTAAATTCTCCCACCAGAGAGTGAGTTTGAATCTTCTTCCTTCACCATATATTCTCATAATGTTTCACTCACATAAATACTTAAACAAGCTCATAACAAAAATCTTAAAAATGTAATAATTGTAATACACACAAATTTCACCACTTGAAATTATCTATTATAGCTATTATATACTATATATTATCATTTTGTTTATAAAATTATTAATTTTTAAAATCAAATATTATAATATAATATTTTAAATAATTGTTAAAAAAGAAATCATTTTTTCAAACATAGATAATATAACTAATCTAAGGAAATGTGTGTTACGAATCAAATTTCTCTTTATTCATTTTCATTTTTTTAAACATAATCATCTGTTGTAATTGTAAAAATAAAATAGAAAACAAAATATAAAATATTCTTTATATATTAACAGATACAATTTTGTAACACAAATAAATCCATTATTTATCCCAAAATAATTGATTTGTGAATAAAGTCTCACTCTATCAATTGATGCACCTTTTGATAATATCTATTATCCACATATTTTTTAACTTTCCATTAGAAGTCAACATTCTTCAAATATAATAATGTTAACAAACAACACATGGATAACATTTGACTCATCATTTATTCACTAATGGGCTTATTGGTTAAAAAAAAAAGAAAGCAAATGGGATTATTTACTTGTATGACTTTAATTTTGTCTTCATGTCATGATTATGAAAGAGACAATCATTCTAAAAGAAAAAAATATTACGAGCATTAAAAAAAACTAAAATATAAACATAAATATATACAAATTTAAATTATTTAAGAATATAATTATATTTATTTAATATATGATAATATAAATTTATTTGAATGATATAATAAAGATGAAACTTGAAATCTAATATAAATTATTGACCTAATATTCTGTTATCGTTATGAAGATGATTTTAAAATTTTTAATTATGATCTAATCAATGTTATAAAATATAGTGTTGATATATTTCTAAGATAACATATTAAAATAGTTTATTTTATATGAGTTTTAGTAAAATAACTTTAGGTTGACTTGTTAACGTAAATTGTGGACCTACTCTTATTATGAGATGATACGACATTATACAAGTGATACATTATATCTATAAATAAATAATTAAATTTATTATTGAAATGAATCTTTAATTAGATCAGGTAATAAAAAAATAATTAACGGAATTTTTTTTAAATTATCTTGTAAAGAAGGAGAGTATTTTTCATATATAATATTTAGGGATGAAAATATTACATGTCCTCGTTTTTTCAATAAATAAAAATGTTTTAAATCTCAAAATAACAGATTTTATTTGTTTAACCGATAATTGAACCACGATCAGTTCAATGTAAGTATATTGAACCAATTTATATGAAAAATAAAAATAAATATAAACATGTTTACACATCTAATAAATTCACGTTGAAACCAGTGCCGAAATTTTTGCAATGCAAGTTTATGAAATATTTTACATGAATAATTTTAAACTCTAAATCTTTTATGGTAGTCAACTAGAAAGACAATATATATTTATAGTTGATTATAATGATTAGAAAATGTTCTTTTTGCCTTTTTTTTTTCTTTATATATAAAAACAATTCTCGTTAAGTCTTAAGTGTACTTTTTTAATCTTTTTATATTTTTATAGGTTTTTCAATAGTTTCTTTTGTATCCAATATATTTTAAATTATTTAAAAGATAGTTTGTTTAACAATAAAATAATGTAAAATCAATTAAAACTTTAACACAATTAATAGTCTTTTAGTTTTAAAAACAAAACTATGAAAAAAGATTAAAGGTTGATTTGATAACTTTGAAGGATGGGAGAATGAGTTTTAAGTTCAATAAGTTCCTAACAAAATAAATAAATAAATAATAATAATAATAATTTTTGTTGGTAGAAACAATAGCAAAGGACAATTAAAAATATACATAAATTTAAATCAATTGAGTGTAACTCATTGATTAGAATTAGGTTTTTCTAACATTTAACAGTAGGTTAAAACCTAAAGATTTGTTCAATGTATAAATTGTTCTTAGTTATTAGAAAACTGAAAATAAAATTTTGCTTTATAAAGTATATAATTTGAGGATTTATTCTATTGTTTTGTCAGTATCACTTTAACTTTGAGTAATAAATTCCTCTAAAATCATTAGTATTGTCTTTAACTTTTAATTTTAGTCGTAAGGTGATTCATTTTCTTTTTATCACATTGACTCAATTAATATATTATGATTTGATATTTTTTTTTCTTATCCCATTGTAATATTTTTGCCTTGATATATATTGAACCTAGTGATCCCATTTATTTTAACAAGTCAAATGAACGAATTTGAACATATTTTTTTTAATATTATTATTTATTATTTAATTATATAAAACTGTAATAAAAAAATGACTTTTATCAATATATTATTATTAACTCCACTCAACTGTATTAGTTTAACTGAGAATAGTGTATTTACTTTTTCTATATCTTTCAATAATTTTTTACATTTACTTTACCATATATTATAATAATAATAAATGAAAAATATAAACAAATTATATTAGTTGTAAATAAATTCCAATCATCAAAATAAAATAATCCATTAGAAATAATATAAAGATAATAAGTTTCGGAATTTTTAACAAGCTTTTAAGTTGAATTCTTATCCCAACTGTTATTGTAAAAGAAAAAAATATATGGATACAAAATTTACAAAATAAAATAGCATGAAAAATTGATCACATACTGAATATTGATAATTTGTATGTAATATTTTGTTTATAAAAGAAAAAAAATGCTAAGAAGATTAGCACAAAAGAAACAGTGAGAAAAAAAAAACTAGAGAATTCATGGAGGGGCAATAATGGGAAAACATTACTAGTCCATTCTTGGAACACCGCCTGCACCTGCAAGCAATACAAAGAGGCTCTTCATCACCTCTCACTATTTATACTCTATTCTTTGCTTCACAAAAAAGGGCAATTTTTTTCTCTTCTACAAAACACAACAACCGATTCCTCAACCCCAACCCTTTCTTCTCTCACACTCCTATGTGTATGCTCTCACTCTCTCATCTCTCAGGTACTTCTCTCTCTCTTTCTTCCAATACGATCTGCGTTCTCTTTCAAAGGTGAATTTTCCATTTCATTCGATTTCTGTGCTGGTTCCGAATACTTAGGGGAATGGGTTGGGTTGATTTTGCTGTCCGTTTTATTTGCTAATTGTTTTCGTTCTGTGGTTTTATATTAATTGAATCTGCAGTTCAAAATAGCGAAGCTGAGGGGAGATGACAAGCGTAAGATCGAGTTGGCCTTCGAGGCTGCGCCAACTTCTAACGAACGATGGTTCTATTGGTCCTTCGGTTAAACTCGACTCTGAACCTGTAGTTCTCTCCCTATATCACTTTTTTGTGTATTTAATTTTTTATTTCATTCCCGTTCAACTGTTTCCATAACTGGAGAATGCGGTTTTCTCAAAGGTTTTTGGTTTGGTCCTTAGTTGATTGTGTGTCTATGTTGTTATTCTGCAAAGAAGCAGTTGTAACCTTGGAATGCTTGGAAATTTTTTGATTGGTTGATTATTTACTTTTGGGTTGTGTTCTTACTAATTCATTGATTTGGAGTTCTCAAATCCTGTGTTACGTATGTACGAGAAATTGGTGGAATAGGTAGCTGTCCTTGTATGAGTTTAGTATCCCAGACCCATGATAGCTTAGAAATTGAAATAGTACGAAAATCTAAATGAGTGGTTTGGGCTGAGAGTCTTCTGGTTTGAAAGGGATCTTTCTAAGAAATGGTTAACTAGTTAGCTTTTAGGAAAGTGAAAGGATTTTTTTTTATATGTAAGATATTGGGTTCAGCTTGAGCTTGTTAGCCAGGGATAACCATATAGTCAAATCAAATCAATAGGATGTAGAAATTTATAGGCTGTTGCATTACTATGTAGTTTTATTTTGTTGTCGTGTTTGAATAGCAGAATGAGCAGAATGAGGTAGTTCATTTTGGCCGAAGACAGACATTGGAACTTGTGCATTCTTTCGTACTTAGAGCTAAATTGATCAATACTCTTACTATTTTTATTTTTGTTATTCTGCTAAATTGATTAATACTGTTTTTCCTTTTCCCAAATTGATTAAGATGAATGGTTTGTAGGAGTATAACAAGTATGTTTTGAATTTTGCTTCTACTGCACTTCACAATTTCGATTTTTAGATGCACTAGTATTAGTATATATGTTCATTATTGTGGTTACATCATGTTCACTTCTATCTATCTACTTATCCTGATGATTCATGGATTTGCTTCTCTGAAATTTTATTGGCTTCAATTTTTTGTGTGTTATCTGCCTTATTCATCTAGCTTATCTGAATGGTTTGTTGGAGTGTAACAAGTATGTTTTGAAATTTGCTTCTACTGCACTTCACAATTTCAATTTTTAGATGCACTAGTATTAGTATATAT